AAAACTTTGTAAAAAAATTAAAAAATAAAAAATAGAGGTAGGCTGAAGGAAGGATGAAAAAAAGAGACCTTTTCTTACCTTTTCAGTAGCTGCAATGGTGTCTTCAAGATCTGAAAGTTTATCTTCACTTTTACTCAAACGGTTTTGAAATCTTGTGATTCAGATTTTAAGTTCTTCTAAATCTCTTTGTCTCTACTTTATGTGATCTGTTTCTTTTCTATACTCTTCATTCAAGAATTCCATCATTTTTTAATATCTACATTTTTATGAGTGTCATCTGGAGAAACAGTTATTAATTCTTTTACTTCAGAGGTTATTTCTGATCTGATTTCCTTTATATGTTTCGGCATTTGGTTCTTTACTTCAGATGCTATTAATGCAGACATTTCTTTTTTTATTTCAGAGGTTATCTCTGATCTGAGTTTCTCTATGCCTTTCTGCAGTTGTTTGTTTACTTTGGAAGCTACTAATTTATACAATTCAGCTGTATGTTTCCCAGTTTGTTCTGTTCTAGTGTCTTGTGCACTTGTGGAAAGGCTTGGGGCCTGAGATTGCATTTTGCTCCTTCTCTTTGTAATTTTGTATAGCACTGTCCTTTGACCTTTGTTGTACAGTTTTGGTACAGTTATAACCTTAGCACCTACTGGAATTCGGGTGCAGATCTACAAAGTTTAAATTCATCCTGTTGTGCCTGGCTTGAGTGTGGCTATTATTCTCAGCATCTTCCTGCTACATCCTTTGGAAATGAGCCTGCTGTGCCCCTCTGGTGAGATGTCGTGCTCCTAGATTAGCTGGGTGTTTCTGACCCCTAGTGTCACTGCAGATCCCATGCCTGTATGTCAAACCTGGTCTGGGTCTGGAGCGGTCTGCAGAGCCCAGTTGATGTTCTCACTCAGAAGCCATGCTTGGGCTGGTTCCGGAGGTTCTAGTGGGTGGAGGTGAGTGCTTAAGTTCTCCCACACACTGGCTTGGCCTGGGTTTGGGCTGGGTATGCAGGAGTCCCGATAGCATGGCAGAAGTTCTCAAGTGCTGGACCAGGGCTGGGTTCCCTGATTTTTGTTTAATATATTTTTCCATATATTTATTTATATTTGTTTACTGACATTTACTATACATTTATCATACATTTAGTATTATATTAGACAAGAGTTTAGAGCTGCAGTATCAAAATGATTTTATTTAAAAATACCAAAAATAAAGTTTTTATTTTTTGCTAAAGTTCCTTATTTTATCAGTGAGACTAGGATTTTCTCCTTGTCCTTCTTTTTTCCAGAAATGCCGTGATTTTTATGATCTTTCTCAATTAGAGTGACTAAACTATGTGCCAAGAACAGTTCTGATTTAAAATACATTTTCAAAGGCCAGGGAGATAGCTCAGTAAAATACACGCTTGTCTTGCAAGCGTAGGGTCCTGAGTTCAATCCCTGGTACCTCAATAAAATAAAATATAATAAAATAAAATAGATTTTCAAGTAATAATAAATAATACAGCGCACTTTACTTTCAGAAGTGCATTTCTTTGCATCATACATTAAATACATTAAATGGTCAATCACTTTTATGTACTACATATTAAACACTGTCATAGAATACATTGTTGTTTCAAATCTGTTTTTCTTAAGTCCAAAAAGGAAGTAAGTCTTCAATCTCTAATACCAAGTTCTCTTCCTTCCTTAAATAAAACTCACAGGAAATGCATGTAGCAATGGAAAGAAATGTAAAGTCTACCCATATGCTGCTTGATAGATGCTATAATTATTTGCAATACAAGGTAAACTGTTTGCAGATCTACAGATTTTTCAGTTTAACTCATTCCTTTAGATGTTTGAGAATTCAAAGATTTTATTTTGTCTTTTTATTGACTGTTTTCCATTGTATAATCCGACTGTATTTAGGCAATATAATTTTTCTTAAATCTTTATTGGTCCTTCAAGTACAATATAGGGGTGTACTATATTATACAAAATCTGCACTCACCAATCATTTTATGATAAGCTCTTATTTACATTAGTATTCTGTTAAGAATGCTTAGGACCAGCCTCAAGGCTCATTATAATCCTTATTGTTTGACTGAATTATTCTCTGACTCACTATATTTGATCTATCTGAGAATTTATAGACATCATCTCACTTTCAGATTTAAACGTTATTTTCCAGGAAGTGCCCTGGATTTGTTATTTGCAATACAAGTAATTTTAATTTTATGATTTTTTTTCAAACAGAAGACACTGCAACTATTTGAAACCAGCCACTCCTGGCTCCTTCAGTTCAATGGCTCTTTATTCAGCTTAATTTTCTTCTCTCACATTTTAGTTTAAAGACCAGGAATACAAAAAACAAAGTCTTCAAAACATTGCTTAAAATTATACTGTGCCAGAATACCTGGTTAAGTTTATTTTTTACTTTTTATATTACCTCAGATGTCAGTGTTTCTAGACTTTTTGCCACTGTATAAAAGTCACTCTCTTATTCCATGTTTTGTTAAAAATTTTCTGACTTTTGTGATACCATTGTAACTATAACAGGGTTTCTTTAAAATGCTTTAAGTATTCACTAAGAATGTACAATCCTCAAAGACCTTTTGTCTTCTGCCCACACAATGATACAAAGGATCTCACATTCTTAGGTACATTTTAAGTGACATTTCTACTTGAAGTTACAAAAATCATATTAGTTGTCTGTAGCTGTGCTACAAACTACTAAAGACCTATCAAGTTGAAACCCCATTTAATTTTTTACAGGAAATCAAAAGTTTACCTGGCTCTTTCTTATTTCAGTGTCTCCTAATGAGCTTGCTGTGAAAATGTCCTTCATGTCTTCTTCAGTCACCTGTGGTCTGAAACTGATCTGAGACCAGATCTATTAGCAGTGTGACTCAGATAAGTGAATGGTAAGTAGTTTGTGGCTATTGACGAGAGGCCTGAGTTTCTAACCCCAAGTACCCTTCTAGAACTAGGACTGTTTACATGTCCTTTTGACATAGGCACAACAGAGGAAATGTTTCCTTTTATAGCTTGGCATCAGAATTTATACCTTGTCATTACTATCCTATCTCATTTGTAAGACTAACCAGGACTACTTAATGCATTATGTGCTACACAGGAGTGTCAATGTCAGAATTTAATAATTTGAGGATCATCTTGGTCACTAACAGCAACATGTAAGGGGAATAGGTACATTGCCACTTTTAATTGATTTATAAACTACTTTCAAAATCTGAACCTGAAAAATGATTTATATTTGCAGTTTTATTAACAGAGCTAACTCTAACTCACTCACAACCAGAAAGAATTTTTATCTTTCTTTAGTAACTTTGGATGTGTTTCTATTCTAGAAAATCAGTATCTTTGGTAGAACTGGGGATCAAACTGAGGCCCTTGCGCTTGCCAGGGAAGTGCTTACTCCACTGAGCCATCTCCCTAGCTCGAAAATCAGTATCTTTTGTAGCCCAGAACACATTAGCTATTTCTTGTGTTGCTGCTGAAAAATTTTCCACCTTCCTTGTTACATTTTTGGAAAAAAAAAAATGGGAGTACAACTACTGCTCTTACAAATGCCTGGCTGGCCTAGATTAACTCTACCAATACAGAAAATTTTCACATAGCTTTCTGATAAAAGCTGTTTCTGACAAACTTACTTCAACTATCATGTTAAATGAGGAAAAACAGGCTTTTTCCTCAAAAAATCAAGAACAAGTACGTTCACTGTCACCTGTTGTGTTCAACATGTGTTTGTAAATTTACCCAGAGCAATCAGGGCATACATGTATAAATATAGATAGACAGATAGACAGACAGACAAGTATATAGATAGATAGATACTAGCAAAAGCTAAAAATACAATTATACTTTTTCAAGATTACATGATCCTTTACATAAAAAAACAGAATATTCCACCAAAAAATTATAAAATTAATAAATATATTCAACAAAGTAGCAATATATAAAACTAACAAACAAAAGTCAATAAAGTTCCTGTACACTAACACAGAACCACCAAAAAAAAAATGAGGAAAACAATATTATCCTTAATTGCTTTTTTAAAAGTTAAATAATTAGAAATTACCTAATTCAGGAAGTTAATGACCTCTATAACAAAAACTATAGTACTTTGAAAAAAGAAAATAAAAGACATTAGAAAATGGAAACTGTTCATGCCTGTAAAGAAAGTGCTCTGGAAGTTGAGACAGAAGCATCACTGAAAGTATGAGACCACCTTGGGGGACTACAAAAGGGAGTATAAGGCCAGCTCAAACTGCATAATAAGATGCTGTCTAAAAAAAAAAAAAGAAGAAGGAGAAATGTATCTTCCTGAATAAATAGAACTAATATCATTAAATGTCTCTACTACAAATATTGATATATACATTTAATGCAACTTCAAAGTATTAATAGTATTCTGCACAAAATGAAAAAAAACATTCCAAAATTTATATGGAATCAGAATATCTCAGAATATCAAAGCAGTCTTGGAGAATAAAAGCCCACCAAGGGGCATAACAATCTTGAATTTTAAAATACATTAAAAGCTTTAGTGACAAAAACCGTATAGTTCTGGCAGAAAAAAAACTGACATACTGAACAAAGGAACATGTTGAAGAGGAAAAAAGAAATGTAGGCATGTTCTACAATCTAATCTTTCAGAAAATGTTCAAAAATGTACATTGGACAAAAGGTTTTCTCCCTCCATCCCTCCAGGGCCAGCCCAAGGCCAGGCCCAGCGAGTGTGTGGGAGACATTCTGCACTTCCCTGCGCCATCTGGACCTCTCTGGACCAAGCCCAGGCCCACCATATGAGTGAGTTCCTCTACCACACTCTGGGACCCCTCCACACCTTGAGAGCCAGCCCAAGCCCACCTCATTAGTGAGAGCGTCTGCCATGAGCTCAGGACCCCCCCACACCAGACACAGCGAGAGTGTGGGAAAGGTTCTACACTCCCACGTGCCCTATGGAACTCTTCAAACCAATCCCAGGTCTGCCACAGAGAGAGTTACTCAACCATGCTCTCAGAACACTTCCATCGCTACAGAGGCAGGCCAGGCTCAGGCCCTGAAAGTGTGTGGGAGAGCTTCCACGATCTCCTGCAACCCCTGGACCCTTCAAGACACAGCCCAGGCCTGGGAGATAGACCTGGGGAAAACTCTGTACCTGAACTCCCTGAAGACAGACTAGGAGCCTGTACTACCCAGCTAATCAAGGCACAGAACATCTTGCCAGAGGGGTACAACAGGTTCACTTCCAAGGGCTACAGCAGAAATGAGTTGAACACAGCAGCCAGACCAAAAACAGGCACAATTAGAAAAACTCAAATTTAATAGATCTACACCTAAATTTCAATAGGTGCAAAGGTTATAACTGCACCAAAGCACTACAACAAAAGTCAGAGGACAATGCTATGCAAAATGACAATAAGAAGGAGCAAAATGCAACCTCAAGACCTGAGCTCACCCAGAACAAGTGCAGAGAGCACTAGCACAGGAAAAAAAATGGGAATAGAACAGCTGAAATGTCAGAACCTGTAGCGTCTGAAGTAAAGAAACAACTGCATAAAGATACTGAGAAAATCAGGTCAGAAATAACCTCTGAAATAAAAAAAGAAATCTCTGAATTAATAGCATCTGAAGTAAAGAATCAAATGCAAAAACAATCATAGGAAATCAGATCAGAAATAATCTCTGTAATAAAAGAATTAATAACTGCTTCTCAAGAAGAAAATGATAGAAAAATAGAGGCGATTACAAAAAATACCAATTCCTTGAAGGAGCAATACAGGAAAGAAATAGATCGCATAAACCTGAATCAAAGAAATATACAAGAACTTAAAATCTCTATGCCAAGGTTGCAAAAACCTGTCAGACCTTGAGGATGCCACTGCAGCTAGTGAAAAGTTGAAAAAAAAAAGATCTCTTAAAAACAATTGGGATGGGAGTAGTCAGAGGGGAACGTGGGTTGAAGGCTTACCACGGATTGACTTGCAGCACTATGCATTTCATTTTGAAGGCTCTCTTTATCAAGTAACATCCGTAATTCAGTACCAAGCAAATGATCATTTCATAGAATGGATTTTACATGCTGATGGCAGTTGGATGGAATATGATGACCTAAAGGGTTTATGTGCTCTAAGGCACAAAAAGTTTGAAGTTTCTGCTTCAGAGATACATATTGTTATTTGGGAAAGAAAAACATCTCAGTCAACAGATGAAGAAACTGCCTGCCCTGCACTTAAGAAGGCTAATGATCAGCGTGCTTCAGGGGAAGAGAGAGCAGCATCTCCAGCACTGCCTTCTGTGGGCCAGGCTGCCTCCACAGGAACGTCCTCGGTCATTGTGCCCACGTCTGTGTCACTCGTTCCTCATGCTCTTCCACAGGACAGAGCTGTGGCACATGAAGATTATGTACTTGGAGATTCAAAAGTTTTGGGTGACAGCAATATTTTACCTGTGACACTTGAACGATCTATCTGGAAAACTGCCTCAGTTTTTCAGGTTACCACTGAAACATTCCTACCAGAAAATAGGCCTGTGGCAAAAAATATAGGGCTTATCAAAACAAACACTTTGCAATTGCAAGAATCACCAGTGGAGTCTTCAGTGTTGGCTCCATGTGGAAAAAAGCTTAGCCAAGCCCAGTCTGTGGATTCAAGTTTCCCATTGCAATTTGTAAATACAAACACGCAGTTGACCCTGCTGAATACAGAAGATGCAGTTCCTCAACCTGTGAATAATGCTCATGGTCTTGTACAGGGAGTAAAGTCAGTGCAAGTTGAAAAGCACACTCAGTTAAAGCAATCCTTTTTGTGGGAAAATGAGAAATTAAAACCAGAATCACCTTCTGTATCTCAGGCATCTAATTTGAAGAAAAAAGCCACAGCAGATCCACAGACTGTGACAGCCAAATCCTCACAGAAACAGTCCCTAAAAGAAAATCAGAAGAAACCCTTTGTGGGAAGTTGGGTTAAAGGCCTGCTAAACAGGGGTGCTTCTTTTATGCCATCATGTGTTTCAGTTCATAATAAAATCACAATAAGTGATTTGCAGCCGTCAGTTAAAGGAGCAAGTAATTTTGGTGGTTTTAAAACTAAAGGTGTGAAGCAGAAGGCCAGCCACACATCGAAGAAAGCCCGTAGATCTGCAGATAAGCTTCCTGTCTGCAACCCTCCACCCGGTCTTCCACGGTCAGAGAACAAAGCTGCTCCTCCACATGGAAGCAAAAGTGCTGCTTCAGAGCTTCCAAGGGAGCAAGACTGCGCCTCCCACAAAGCTGACCTCAGTCACTCTTCTCACGGAAGGGAAAATGGACTTTCTTCAGCAAACCACACAGATTCAGCTGTAGATCAGATTCATAAGCTTCGTCTAAAACTTCTTAAAAAGCTAAAGGCTAAAAAGAAGAAGTTAGCTGCCCTCAAAGCTTCCCCTCAAAGCAGAACGCTTCCCAGTGAGAATTTAGAAAATGGGCTGCACTGTGAGTCTCCAAATGATTGTGAATCAATAGAAGACTTGTTAAATGAATTGCAGTATCAAATTGATATTGCAGATGATGAATCTGGGTGTACCACTGCTTCTAGTGTTGCCTCATATAATCAAATGCATGAAGAAATTTTAGCAGAGTTACTGTCACCAAGTATTTCAACAGAACTCTCAGAAACCGGGGAGGCTGACTTTATGTATTTGGAAATGGGAGACAACCACATCCCCACTCCAGAACCTACTGAATTAACTAATAATCCCCAGGACATAAATCTGAAAGAGGAGCATAATTATTGCAGCCCCACCAAGAGGAATCAGTGTGAAGTTCATGCAGTCTCCCAAATAGCAATACCTGCATTAAACTTGGAGAGCCCCGTGAAGGCTGCTATCTTTGATGAGTTTTTTCCTACTACATTAACTTCTTCGGCAAATGACACCTTGGATTTAGCTCATTTTGATGAATGTATGTTTGAGAGTTATTGAGTATTTGTTAACTCTAATATTTATTATTGTTAGAAAAACTTAACTGCATTTTTTGATAGTGTTTCTACACTGTTGTAATAACCGTGAAGGAAATTTAAGCTGCTGAAAGTTTTACCTTTGGTATGTAACCTGTTATACAAATTAAAATAATTATTTTCTCATTGAAAAAAAACAATTAGGATGCAGGAAAAAATAATTCATCACCTGCAAGACGATACACAGATGAGAAATATGAGACTAAGAGGCATGAATGAGAAAGAAGGAGTTTAAAAAAATGATATCAAAAGAATATGGACTGAAGTAATAGCAGAAGACTTCCCAAGCATGAAGAAACAATCTGACATTCAGGAAATCAAAGCATACAGAACTCAAAATAACTTCAACCCAACTAAAAACACATCGAAACATATAATAGTCAAGATCCCTGGAAATCCAGCAAAAAAAAATGATATACTGATAGGTGCAAGAGAAAAGAAACAGATCACACTTAAATGAAAACTTATCAGAATAATGGCAGATTTCTCTTCACAAACCATGAAGGCAAGAAGAGCATGGAGCAGAGTATGAAAACAAACTCCAGACCAGACTACTATACCATATAAAACTCTCTTTCAAGTTTGATGGAGAAATGAAATACTACCATGACAAAGAACAAATAAAGAATTTTTTGATGACAAAGCCAACCTTACTCAGACCACTAAAAGTTGTTCCAGAGAGGGACGAACATGATCAGAACTCCAAGAACAAGAAGAGAAGGACCCCAATAAATACGGCAACCAAGCACAGGAGGAAAAGGACTAAAGTACCGCAGGTCAATAACATGTTGATCATAAGTCAATACATCTCAATTATAACCATCTATCTAACCGGACTCAAGTCACCAATTAAAAGAAATAGACTGGCACATTGAATTAGGAAATAAAATCCAACAAGTTGGTGTATACAAGAAACACACTTAACTGTTAAAGAAATTCATAGGCTGAAAAATCAAATAGAAAACAATACTTCATGGTCCAGCACATCAGAAAAGAGCAGAGGTAGCAAATCTGTTCTCAGTAGCCTCAACTTCTAACCTAGAATTATTATATGAAATAAAGAAGGCTAATATATATTTGTTAGGGGAAAAGTTCAAGAAGAAGATGTAACATTCACAAATATGTATGTACAAAATACAGGAGCATCCAACTATATAAGAAAAAGCCTAAAAGACATGAGAAATCTAATATCTAATACCATGGTGTTAACAGGATGTCTTAACACCCATTTATCCCAAAATATAGATCAAGCAGATAAAAATCATCAAAGAAGTAGGAAAACTGAATCAGAGCATGGAAAAAAATGGGTTTAGTGGACCTATACAGAGTGTTCCACTCAACCACAGCTGAATACACATTTTTTTTCACTTGCACATCGGTTATTTTCTAAAATAGACCACATACTAGTTTACAGGTCATGTTTAAGTATATGCACAAAAACTGAAATTATCCCATGCATATTATCTGACCACAGTGCAATGAAGCTAGAAATAAAGGACAAAGAAATGAGAAAATCTCCATACATACAGGGAAATTAAGTAACAGTCTGCTCAGCAACCAATGGGTCACAGATGAAATTAAAGAAGAAATTGAACAATATCTACAAGTCAATGAAAATTCAAGCACAACTTATTGGAATTTGTGTGACATGATGAAAGCAGTTCTTAGAATGATATTTATCTCTGTGAACTCACACACTAGGAAAATAGAACAGGAAAAACTAAAAACTCTAATGTTTCATATTGAACATCTAGAAAAGAGAAAACCAAACTCAGAGACCAAAGATGGGAAAAAATTATAAAGATTAAGGTAGAAATTAACTCAATCATGATGAAGAAAACAGTTCAAAGAATTACGAATCCAAAGCTGATTCGTTGAAAGGTGAAATAAAATTGATAAGGCCCTAGGTGACCTCATCAAAAAGAAGAAAAAAAATGTCAAATGCAACCAATAAGGAATGAAAAATGTGTAATTACCACAGAAGATTATCAACAGCTACTTTGGGAATCTTTATTCTTGCAGAATAGAAGACACAGAAGAAATGGACAGATTCCTAGAAAGGTACAAATTACCAAAAGTGAGTCAAGAAGATAAAACAACTCTTAGTACCCCAGTAACAGTCAATGAAATATGAAATGTATACTGATGGGTTCTGATCTGAATTGTACAAGAAATTTACAAGAGATATAATCCCTGCACACTTTAATCTCTTCAATGAAATTGAGAAGGAAGTAATACTATCAAAGTCATTTCTAGAGGCAAGAATTATACTGATACAAATCCAGAGAAAGATGTAACTACAAAAGAGAACAACAGGCCAATTTTCCTCAGGAACATAGATACACAATCCTCAATAAAATTCTAGCAAATAGAATACAGCAAATCTTCCAGAAGATCATACACCATGACGAGATAAGATTCATCCCAAGGATGCATGTATGGTTCACTGTTTGCAAATCTATAAATATACTACACTACATCAGTAGAGTGAAAACTAAAAACTTCATGATAATCTCAATTAATGCAGACCTGCTTTTGACAAAGTCCAACACTCATTCATGTTCAAAGTCCTACAGAAAATTGGAATAGATGAGTTTACTTCAATCTGATCAAAGCCATTTATGACAACCCAACAGCTAACATACTTCTAAATGGGATAAAACTGAAGTCTTTTACGCTTAGATCTGAAACAAGACAAGGATGACCTCTATCACCCCTCTTATTCAATATAGTTGTGGAATCACTAGCAAGAGCCATTAGGCAAGAGGGAGAAATAAAAGGAATAAGATTAGGTAAAGAACAAGATAAATTATTGTTATTTACAGATGACATGAAACATTACGTGGGAGACCCAAAAAACTCCACCAAGATGCTACTAGAATTAATGCACAGATTCAGTAGTATAGCAGGATACAAAGTAAATACCTAAAAGTCAATAGAATCTTCAACACACATAACAAACACACTGAGAGGTAAATTATAGAAGCAATACCTTTTACAATAGCACCGAGGAAAATGAAATATTGTGGAATTAATCTGACCAAAGAAGTCAAAGATCTTTTCAATGAAAATTAAAGTACTCTTATAAAAGAAATCCTAGAGCATTTCAGAAAATGGAAAGATATTCCCTGCTCCTCGGAATGAAGAACCAACATTGAGTTGGCCATACTACCAAATTGCTGTACATATTTAATGCAATCTCTATCAAATTACCACTAGCAATCCTCACAGACCTAGAGAAATCATTTCTAAAATTTATTTGGAACCAGAAAAGCTCTAGAATAGCAAAGGCAATTCTGAACAAGAAAGACTAGGTAGGAGGCATAACAATTCCTTATTTGAACCAGCAAAAAGAATACAGCAAATCATCAAGAAGATCACACACCATGACCAGGTAGGATTCATCACAGGGATACAAGGATGGTTCAATATTCGAAAATCTATCATTGTAATACGCTATATTAATAGACCAAAAAGTAAAAACCACATGATCATCTCTGTTGATGCAGAAAAGGCTTTTGACAAAGTCCAACACTCATTCATGTTCAAAGTCCTACAGAAAATT